CGGCCACTGCACTCCAGTTAGGGCGACAGAGTGAGACTCTAACTCAAAAAAAAAAAAAAAAGAAAGAAACTTCTGTAAACTACCAAAAAATAAAATGCAATTTTCCACTACAGAATATATATGCTATGTGATTTTAAGTGAAATCATGCCGGTATATGGAATTTTGTTTAATGTAATTTGTTTATTTATTTTGAGTCAGGGTCTCACACTGGTTCCCAGGCTACAGTGCCCAGCCTAGACTGCAATGCCAGAGTCATGGCTCACCACAGCCTTGACCTCTTGGGCTTAAGTGATCCCTCTGCCTCAGCCTTCCAAGTAGCTGGGACTACAGATGCATGCCACCACGCCAGCTAATTTTTTTTTTGGTAGAGATGAGGGTGTCTCACTATGTTTCCCGGGCTAATTTCAGCCTCCCATAGTGCTGGGATTACAAGTGTGAGCCACCATGCCTGACCCAGTATATAGAATTTTTGGTATATTTTGTAGATGCGCTCCATAGTTCCTACAACTATTTCAGATTATTTTTCACGGGGCAACTTAGATTTTTGCACATCATTAAATTAAAGTGTATTATATTTTTTATTTCTCAAAAAGGAATTTATACCATTGGTAACCATGTTTGGTCATTTCCTTGATTGTACAGGGAGAAGACATCCATTATCAGAGAAAAAAATTATGCACTATATGTACCAGTTATGTAAATCCCTTGATTATATGCACAGGTATGCTCTTGGAGATTTTGGCAGCTGTGAAATTAATAAACTATGGTCACTTACAGTCATTAAAAATGCAGTTCAAAGTTAATTGGCATTAATGAAGTGCAATTAATGATATTCTTCATTTTATACTGAATGCAGAAATGGAATATTTCATAGAGATGTAAAACCAGAAAATATACTAATAAAGGTAAGAACTTTTATGTGGGGCAATCCCTTCAGATCCCCTTCCACTATGGGAGCTTTTCTGTCCTCTCAATAAATCCTGCTTTCTTAAAAAAAAAAAAAAAAAAAGAACTTTTATGTAGAATAAAGGTAGAAGTATAAAAACTTTTCCACTAGATATGCTTTCCGTCCCAGATAGCTAGACAGAATGTTATAGTATTTTATTCCTCCCCGTCTATAAGAGATGACTTTTTTCATAAATGCCACCAGAATAACCAAATGTAAACCTGGAAAAAAGCCAGATGTGGTGGCTCACACCTGCAATCCCAGCGTTTTGGGAGGCCAAGGTGGGAGGATCCCTTGAAGCCAGGAGTTCAAAACCATGCTGGGCAACATAGTGAGACCCTATCTCTACAAACATTTTAAAAAGTAGCCAAGCATGTTGGCACACACCTGTAGTCCTACCTCCTTGGAAGACTGAGGCAGGAGGATCACTTGAGTCCAGGAGTTCCAGGTTGTAGCGAGCTGTGATCACACCACTTCATTCCAGCCTGGGCAACAGAACAAGACCCTGTCTCAAAACCAAACAAAAACCAGAAAGTACTCTTCCCACACTGTAGCCAAAAGTTAACTCTATTCAAATTGCCATTCTGAACACTCTCAAGGGAAATGTGACAGAGGCAGGTTTGAGCTCGGGTCTGTCTCACTCCGAAACCATCTACGCTACCCGCATTTGTGGCATCGTTTGCTGCCTCCCAGTGTCTGCCTGACTTGCTGTCAGCGAAGTCCTCTGAAACCATGTGGCTAAAAGAGCCCCTGCGCAGCGAGCTGGTAGCTTGATGGGACGTACGACTAGTGTGTCATTTGTTTGTAGAAGCATGCTGTGACTTAACCATTTTCAAAACCTGTAGACATTTGGAAATGCATGTAACACACGGCAGGTGCTTGTAAACATGTCCCACAAAGAGCAGCGCTGTGGCCTTCTTGGGTGGGGGCGCCTTCAGTCACTCGCAAAGTAGGTCTGTTTCACTAATCAGTTGCGACGCCAGCCCCTTCCCCGCTGCTACATATTTGGAGGGGCTTGTGTTGCCATGGCTGTACTGCGCGACAAGCCTGGCCTTCTCTCCCTGCAGCGGGATGTCCTGAAGCTGGGGGACTTTGGGTCCTGCCGGAGCATCTACTCCAGGCAGCCGTACACAGAGTACATCTCCACCCGCTGGTACCGGGCCCCCGAGTGTCTCCTCACCGATGGCTTCTACACGTACAAGATGGACCTGTGGAGTGCCGGCTGCGTGTTCTACGAGATCGCCAGGTGGGTCTTTTGTGGGGAAGGGTGGGACCGTGGGACTCAAGGCTGGAACCTCGGGGCTCACGGGCCCCACAGCTTTACATGGCTCCCTCCTTTACAGTCCAGATGTTGCAGTCATCCTGATTTTGTTTTTGTTTCTCTTTTTTTTTTTTTTGAGTTGGGTCTCACTCTATTGCCCAGGCTGGCGTACAGTGGCATGCTCACAGCCACCGCAGCCTCGACCTGCTGGGCTCAGGCAATCCTTCAGCCTCAGCCTTCCAAGTAGCTAGAACTACAGGCACGCACCACCATGCCCAGCTAATTTTTTATTTAGTTATTGTAGAGACAGGGTCTTGCCAAGTTGCCCAGCCTGGTCTTGAACCCATGGGCTCAGGCAATCCTCTCACCTCAGCCTCCCAAAGTGCTGGGATTATACGCATGAGTCACTGTAACTGGCCTCTCTCTTTTTTTAATTTAACCAAAAAAAATCACTAGGCTTTCATTTTTTGTCAAATACCTTTCCTTGCGTGCTCTTTTGGAGAACAGAGACTCTCAGTTCTCCTTTGCCACTGCACAGCCCAGCCTGTGTGGGGGGCTTCTGCATCAAGCTGATGGTGGGGTACCTAAGGTGAGGCATCCCAGAGCAGAGGAGAAGTGTGTACACTGCCGCCTTTGGGCCTGCCACGGGGAGGGCTGAGCTGTGAGAGGTGGTCACATCAGGTGGGGTGCTCCTGGCCATGGTGTAAGGACAAGGCACCTTATGGCACAGCTGGACTCTAGGGAGCCCCAGTCCCAGCCCTCCCTCCCCGATCTCCAAGTCCTTCGCTGTCCCTAGCCTTTAGAGAAGAGTAGAGGCCCAGGGAAGAGGGGGTGAGGTGAGGGGGTGCTGAGCTGAAGGAGCGCCCAAGGGCGTGGCCCAGCACCATCTGACGACGGGTGGTGCGTCTGAACAGGAGAACCCGGCATGGGCAGGGGCCCAGAGCTTGTCTGGTCCCACCTGCTCAACTGGTCGCTGCGACAGAAGCGCGGATGGATGTGCACTTCAGGACACACACTCCTTTGACTCCAGGTCATTCATATTGAGAACTTGTTGTTTTGGAAAGCTCAGTGGCAATGTCACGGAAGCTGAAAGTGCCAGCAGACTAGGCCTTTCTCTTGAGCTGACACCCCTTGATTGACTTGGAGGGTGTCAGAGGACTTCTGGGTGAGGACCTCCCATCGGTGACCAGACAGGGCAGGGCTCTGATGCCCTCATCTTCCCCGTTGAGCTACTTTCTGCTCACCCAGTTTTTCCTCTTCTCTGGTCACAAGACACGACTGTTTTCCTGAGCGAAAGCTGGTCATACTACCAGAGCTGTGTTTTAAATTCTTCTTTGTGACGTGTAATAGGAATTGAATTTATTTATACAGGCCTAAAATCGGTTACCCTCAACTCCAAAATCTGCGAAAGCTCTGACAACCAAAAGGTTTCTTGGAACTTGCTTGTCAACAAAACTTGACCTGACCCACCCTGAATCTGTCGCCAAGACTCACTGGGCTGAGGGAAGCACGTTAAGATGGCTGCTTGTCCCAGTTAGCGTGAGCACTCACGTTGCTCTGCAGACACAGACACAGGGGGTGCAGTCTTCCTCTTGCCTCTTAGAAGGCACGTCCAGGGCCTGCTGGTCAAGTAGAAAGGCCGAGCAGAGAACAGAAGTCTCCCGGCCACGAAGCTCGAGGGACGGGTGAGGACCACTTCCTCAGGTGCTGGTGGGGGGGCCTGCCTGGCAGAGGAGACCGGCAGCCTGAGGCCCACTGTCCTGTCCTGACCACGGTGCCTCTGGTCGTGCCCTTCTAGCCTGCAGCCGCTTTTCCCTGGAGCTAATGAACTGGACCAAATCTCAAAAATCCATGATGTCATCGGCACACCTGCTCAGAAGACCCTCAGCAAGTTCAAGCAGTAAGTGCAGTGTGCTCAGAGGGCCTGGGCCACCCTCTCAGCCCTCATTCTGGGGGGCTCCCGCTGCCACCAACAGGGCTGCAGGCTCACTTGGGGGCCTGTGGCGGCTGCTCAGACAGAGCCCCTCACCTTTGGGGGTTCACAAAGATATGCTCTCCTGGAGCATCAGAGATTCTTCACGGGCTTTCTGAGGGCCTGGGAGTCAGGCTTTGTTACACTACCCAATATGCAGGGACCAGGAAATCCTGGCTGTACAGACACCTCTAGGGGAACACAGCCCACAACCTCCTAGCCCAGGGTCCCACTGGCAGAGGACAAGAGAAAAGAAATGCTTTGCAGCCAAAAAAAAAAAAAAAAAAAAGCCTTGGGGCAAAAATGTCCCCAAGCACAAACCGTAGGTGGTGAGGGCTTTCTGCAGCCCTCGCTCGGCATTGCTGGTGGAATGGACACCTTGCCAGGCGCTCGGGGACCCATTAGGACTTCATTCTGAGCACAGCTGTCACTCGGCCAGGAGCTGGGGCTTCTGAGGTTGGGCCTGTGGGCGGAGCATGAACAACACCCAGAGGACCCTAGGTCTTGGGCAGCTCAGGAGGGCAGCTACTCTGGATTCTTTCTCTCTTTTTTAAAACTTGATTTCATCTTCTCACTTGGGAAGGTATATAATCTTGTATAGGAGAGGTTGTTTTCTTACATTGATCACATAACAGATTTTACCCCCTTTCCCATTTATTATTTTATTTTTTATTTTTTGAGTCAGAGTCTCACCCTGTTGCCCAGGCTGGAGTGTGGTGGCATGCTCACAGCCACCGCAGCCTCGGCCTGTTGGGTTCAGGCGATCCTTCCATCTCAGCCTTCCAAGTAGCTGAAACTACAGGCACGTGCCACCATGCCCAGCTAATTTTAATTTATTGTAGAGACAAGTTCTCACCAAGTGTCCAGGCTGGTCTCAAATCCCTGGGTTCAGGCAATCCTCTTGTCTCCATCTCCCGAAGTTCTGCAATTACAGGTGTGCACCACTGTACCTAGTCTAGACTTTTTTTTTAGAGTAGAGTAGAAGGATTGCCTGAGCTCAGGAGGTCGAGGCTGTGGTGAACTGTGATCATGCCGCTGCACTCCAGCCTGGGCAACACAGTGAGACCCTAACCCCAAAACAAAGGAAAAAAGAAAAGAAAGCAAAGTTCAGTGGCGAGGACAGAGCTTTTGCATAGACCTCCTGTCCCCTCACACACACAGCCTCCCCCACCATCAACAGCCCTACGAGAGTGGTGTTTGTTGTTGTCGGACGTTGACGCACTGTTACCACCCAGAGCCCGGCTGGCCCGAGGGTTCCCTCTGGGGTTGGCCATACAGTGGGTGTGGACAGCCATGTAATCTGTGGGTCACAGACTGTTCCCCTCAGAGTCCCGACGATGGGCCAGGGAGGGGCTCTAGATGGCGGCATGATTGTGTGTTATCATTGGGCTTTTAACACAGGTCGAGAGCTATGAGTTTTGATTTTCCTTTTAAGAAGGGGTCAGGAATGCCTCTACTGACAAGCAACTTGTCCCCGCAATGCCTCTCCCTCCTGCACGCGATGGTGGCCTATGATCCGGATGAGAGGATCGCCGCCCACCAGGCTCTGCAGCACCCCTACTTCCAAGAACAGAGGTAAGAGGGTCTCTGCTGGGTTTCCGTGGGGCGGGCAGGAGGCCCTGGCTAGTGAGACCCGTGGGGCTCACGGTGGGGCAAGGGACAGCCTCTGGAGGGTGCCCGGTCCCTGGGAACAGCTCTGTCCTGAACAGTGGTCCGTGCTCTGGGAGACTCCACCACGCTCTTTTCTGGAGTCTTCTCCTCAAAAGGAGGCTGTTAGCAGCTCCGGGGCAGGGGAAAGATGCCGAGACTCTAGTTAGTAAGACTTCTAGAAGAGCCTGGACGTACCCAGTGTATGTGGCACAAACTCAGGAGAGGGTGTACCGGGCACTGTTAGTACCTGCTGAATGTGGATCTCAGGTGTCTGCCCTGAGGCCGTCTAGGTCCACATGCTGGACACTATGTAACTGGAGGTGACAGTCTGAGTCCCTGGTGGTTCACGGTGCTTGCTCTGCTCCTGGCCCAGAACCCGTCAGGCTGAGACAAGAGAGGAAAGAGGCTGTCGTCGTGGCTCATGAGAAACCAGAGCCAGCGACGATCCACCTGCTAAACCAGTGGAGATGAGGGGTCAGGCAGGCAGCCGCCCACGGTGCTCACGGGTGCCTGCTCTCATTCCTTCCCTGCAGGAGAACTGAGAAGCAGGCTCTGGCCAGCCACAGAAAGGCTTTCTTTCCAGAGCTCCTCGCGGCATCGGAGCCACTCGGGAACACCTGGCAGATTCCAAAGGCGGCCAGAACACAGGTACTTGGGGAGATCGTGCTGCAGAGCGGCTGGCTTGGTGGGGACTGGACACCCTTGGGTGGCCTGTGTCTCTCCGAGGAGGACGCCACCTATGGAGGACTGTAGCCAACCATGCCACATCTATCTTCACCTCGGCAGCCCGGGCCTGACAGCCGTGCCTGTTAATGTCTCTGTTGGTTAGAGCATCAGGGACCCTGGGTCCAGTTGCTAAATAAAGCCCCTTCTGTCCTGCCCATTAAGGGCTGATGACTAACATCCCAGGTGAGCAGGCCCAGGGAAGGACCCTTACTGGGTTCCTGCGTCTGTCCTGATGACGGGACAGATGCCGGTTCTGTCCCCTTGTCATGCCCTCAGACACCCACCTGGCCAATGACAGATCCCAAGGCCCAGGCCATGCTGTGCCTGCTTGGCTACCCAGCCCCATGAGCATAGTGGCCCCGACGTGCACGTGGAGCCATCAGCAGGGCCCGTTTCACACACCTCGGCTTTAGAAGCGTGGAGCCCGTCACAGGCCCTCTACAGGGTCCCGCTCACTCGGTCCTACCGGCCTTAGGTTCTGGGCCAGCCCCAGACTCTGTATGACCACATGCCCTTCCATCACACACCGTTCCATTCATCTGCACGTCGCTCCTTCCTCCCAGCCCTTACTGAACGCTCACCACATGCTAGGAGCTGGGGACACAAGACGCATCTGCAGCTAGGTTGCTTTCCGTCCAGCGCATCTTCTGACCTTCCTCCGCACTTGCTGCTCCCGGTAGCTTCCCATGCCCCGCTCCCCCGCCCCCCCTGCCCCCCCGCCCCCGGTAGGAAGCTCTGCATTCTGCCTAGGCCCTGCCGTGGAAGACTCCTCACACCACCCACAGTCCCACCCTTCTCGCCTTCTCTCTCTCCACAGCCTTCCCTCGCCCAGGTCCCCACAGATTGCCTCTTGATTGCGGCCCTACGCTGCCTCCCTTTCCCTCCTGGACAGAGGTGCTTCCTTCAGGTGTTTGGTGCCAGTTCCTGCCTGCACCCACAAAGTTCCCACCTCCAATCACACACGAGCTTGGCACACTGTGTGGGCCCAGGTGTCTGTTGAAACTGCCCAGCTCTCCTCGCACATGAAGGCCGCTGAGGCACTGCAGAAACCAGCTGTGGCTGCGTCAGGAAAACTTTGGACACTGAAATGTGAAATTTACATAATTTTCACATGCCATGAAATAGTTCTTTCAACCCTTAAAAAAACCATTGACCGGGCTCGGTGGCTCAGCCTGTAATCCCAGCATTTTGGAAGGCCAAGGCGAGTGGATTGCCTGAACCCGCGGGTTCGAGACCCGCCCAGGCAACTTGGTGAGACCTCGTCTCTACAATAAATAAAAAATGAGCCAGGCGTGGTAGCGCGCACCTGTAGTTCTGGCTAC